GTGTCTCCAAATAACTCAGCTTCCCAATTCACAGTAGATAGTTTTTGTCGCATCCCTTCAAAATTTGCTTTTTTGAAAGTTGGAACCAAATTATCATTATTCCTTATCTCCATATGCAGCAAAACATTGAACCTAATAGACCAATGATCACTTGCTGCCAGATGTTCCCCAATTTCCATCCTTTCAATCATTTCTATACTTGAAGTTAAGAATAAATCTATAAAAGCATTGTTTCTAGTAGGTGCCTTGATTAATTGATGAAGAAAACCATCCTGAACAGTTTCCGAAAACCTTTCTCCTTCATGGTTTGACTCTAGTATTTCCCAATCCATATGCCTGATATTAAAATCACCCATAATTATGATTTCATTAAAAGCTGAAATCTAAATCTCATTTTAAAGTTTCTCACTAATTTCATGAGTATCATTTAGTGATCTGTAACATATTTCTACTAAAAGCCTTTACCCTTTATATCCACTAATGGAAACCCAAATGGATTCAATCTCCTTGCTATTATCTTTGATATCCTCAAGTTCAACAGGATGTAACTCATATTTTACATATAAAGCCACATCTCCCCACCTCTCTTTAACACTCTATCCTTATTAAATAACCTCTAACCCTGTATTTCAAAGAAATTTCTGTCTTCAAAATCATCTACATTTAACCATGTTTCAGTTATTCCCATTACATCAAAATATTCCATTCCTACCAGTGCCCTAAAATGATCTATTATATTTTTTATACTTCTAGCATTACAATAGTAACAATTAAGCCTACCCTTATAACTGCTTCTATACTCATTTCCTATGCTAAACTTTTCTATGCCTCTTATTCTTTTTGCATTTAGTTTTTCCTGGCCCTCATCACTGTCTAGTCCTAATTTAAAACTTCACTTACAGCTGAGTTAATAGCCATAACAAACAAGCCAGCCCCTATCTTATTTAAATGTAAACCATCCATTTCAAAAAGCCTCCTTCTTCCAACTAGCCAATCTGCTCATCCTTACATACCAACCTAAGCCTAGCATTAAGTCCCAGTGACCTACTTATAACTTCATCCTCACAGTTAATTCTGGACAGTATCCTGACAAAATTAAGTTATGACATACCTTTATCAATCCCTTCTATTTATTAATTAGCGAATCTGATCTACCTTTCCTTACATCATTAGCCCCTACATGCACCACAAAATCTGCATCTCTGTTACCCTCTTTATTATATCTAGTGCTCTGTCAGTTATATCCCCCACCTGTGCCCCTGGGTAGCATAATCTGAATTTTTTCTCCCTGTTTATTCTACAGACTAGCCTATCCACATCCCTTGTCGAGAAATTACCTATAATATAACCTCCTTATCATCCACATTCTTCTCTGACCCTTTTGAAAAAAGTATCTCACAAAACCCGAGTATTAAAATATTCTTGCTATATAAACCTCTAATGTTTTTTTTAATCATTTCTTAGTCATTGAATTAACATTCACTTTTATTGGTTTATCGAAGGCTGTATGTATGTTTTTTATGACTTATCGAAGACTATATGTTTCTTTGCTTGTAAATATTAATTGTCTTTATTTAATAATTGGCTTTTCTTCACAATTCTTATTTTTATTTGTTTATTTGTAAATATTAATTGTTGTCTTGATTTAATATTATCCTTTTCTTCACAACTCCTCTTTTTTCTTTCTTTCTTTGTATATATTAATTGTTGTCTAAAAGTGGAATAAATGCTATTATTTAGAATCATGATATTTGATGGCATTTATATGTTTTATCTAAACTTGAGAGCATAATCTAGAAAAGATTTACTCTTCTTAAACTTGAATTTGAGATCTTTATTCCATTCGAAAAGGAACTGACTGGCGAGGTACCACCTGACATTCCATTGACAGCCGGCGAAGCGCCACCTACCTTCAAAAGACGTGTAGGAACATCGTTTGCCTTAAACAATAGGTTGATTGAAGACTTTCGTTCAAATAACGTGAGTTTGCCCAAAAATTCTCTTTCACTTCTTTAATGACAGAAATATATTAGCTTAAACAACAAAAACAACAACAACAACAAACAAACAAAAAATTATATATATCTATATTCCGCAAGAAGTAGTCGTTAGTAATATTGTAAGGGTACTTTTGCAACAACCGTAAATTACAAGTGCTCATGATCACTTATGTCACCTTCTGATTAAAGTTTACACGTCTCGAATATATTTTTCTTCATCTGTTGAAAACACTTATAGAGTAATAAGAATGTGCATAACGCCACACTTTCACATGAAAAAACTAACGAATACTTAAATGTTTGAAATCGGCATTAAGAAGATTCGTTTTGTGGTGGAAGTGAAGAATCGCACATTTTAGTAATTGAATTTCTCTAAATACTGTTAAGAAAAACAAGTGAATTCGTCAACCTTTGACCTCCTTCAGGACTATGATCTTAAAGCATTTTTTATTTGAGTGCTATTCAAACTATTTTCCTGATGAAGAGTTAGTGTGAGTTCAATATCAAATACCCTAAATGATTTGTAGTTTTTTATTTAATACTCGACAGACACATTGATGATGTTGCTTATTAAAGAAACTAGGGGTGAATTTTATATAAAACTCTACTTTGAAATAAAGTGAATGACAATGTCGTTACAATCTCTCATAAATTATATTGTTTTAAGGTATATTCTTAATGTTGTAATTTAAATGCTAGCTAGAGGAAGCTGCGGGGTCTTACTAACAATGACGCTAAGTACAGAAAGTTCTAAAAGATAGGTTTAGAACATCTAGAAAACTCAACTGATGTGACGTAAACCCTTCGTGCACATTTGATGACAAGGTATAAATGCAACATAGTTCCGAACAAGTAAGCATGTTCGCTATCGCGGTTACTTTATACAAGTAAGTTAATTTGTTTTATGTTAGTTAACATCATTTGTTACGTAGGCCTACAACAATATACGGTAGTGTACCAATGTTCAAGTTTGTAGAAACGTAAAAAGAGGAAATAAAGTAATTGATTATCGTTACGTGGACTAGATGTTGAATTATTTTCGCAAAATAGTTTAAAAGAACCCTCCAACGAGAGAGAGATATTTGTGTACTAAGTTACAAATTATCAGCTACTAATAACGTGGAAGTATCTTTCTGTTAACATTCCATTATTTTTCCAATCTTCAGGAAGAGGACTTAGCAAAATTGGAATTGGAATGTGAAATCCAAAATAGTATTACCATGGCTGTTCTCAAACTTGCCAGTGACAAGACTGTTAAGAGAAGCGTGAGAAAGCAAAGAAAACTAGCTCACCAGCGAGCTCTTCTGAAGGTTTGTTGCTATTAAAGCCAGCATTAAAATAGTTTTTGGTTTATTAACAAAGCTGAAAGATAGTTTAAAAAAAGAATAATAATGTTAAACTACGAAATCTGGCGAAATATTAGGGGAAAAATCTATAGTTTACATGATTTTTATCACAAAAATTAATATGGATAATAACTATAAAAACTAAGAAATAACGTAAAATAACTTTATTCCTAAAGCAGACACACAGACAAAACAAACTAAATTTGGTAATAATCCACTTTCAGGAAAAATCTTACATTTGTGAAAATGGAGCTTTTCCGTCGGGGTTGCATTTAGTTGAGTCAATTATTTCTTTCTATAGGCTCTACGTAGCTCTATCAAGGGTCCCTAAAGGTGCAAGTACTGAAAATATTGTTTATAATAAAGTTCTGGAACAACTTTTCCAATATGAATTCGATATTCCTTAGTTTAGACCGTGATTTGAAATACCACGACTCTGTATATTTTGTCGAATTTTGACACATTCCGCTAATTTCATTTAATATAAGATAGGTTTGAAGTAGGCTTCTATTTTAAGTAGCACGTAAGTTGTAGTGAGACAGCAACGAGAGTTGTATGTAACAATGTTGGAACTAAAAGAACATAGTGTATTTATGTACGTTTGTTTGTTTTTGAATTTCGCGCAAAGCTACACGAGGGCTATCTGCGCTAGCCGTCCCTAATTTTGCACTGGGAAGGCAGCTAGTAATCACCACCCACCGCCAACTCTTGGGCTACTCTTTTACCAACGAATAGTGGGATTGACCTTTACATAATAACGCCCACACGACTGAAAGGGTGAGCATGTTTGGGAGGATGGGGATTCGAACCCGCGACCCACAGATTGCGAGTCGAATGCCTTAACTACCTGGCCATGCCGGGCCACATTTATGTACGTAACTTACGAAATATATATATATATCTAGGTATCAAAATTGGTATGGAGGTTCGTTAGATCCATGCAGAGGCACATACTTCAGCTAATAGTCAGCAGATATGTATATCAAGCAAATAAGATCACTTCCTATTATTTAACCACCGCTTCAGTATTGTTGATTTATATAAGAAAACTGATATTATATATCAACATGAATACAGTTACTGGTATCTTTATTCATTATGAAATATTCAGCAGTTGTCTATTTTTCTCACTTGTCGTCTTACTGAACCATACTACAAAATCTTAATTCTAGAAATATGTCCAATCATTTTCTCGTACTGTTGAAGTTTAATTCATATTTCAGTTTAACAAACGTACTTTTTTGTTTCGCGTTCTGATAAATCATAACAATCGATTTAGTTTGATAATTTATTTCAGTTAACAACAATAAAGAATGTATTTCTGTGAAAATATTTCAGTTTTATGGTAGATCTAAGTACTGAATTTCAATAATATATCTTATAGCTTAAAGATTTGCAACAGAAGTTATCAGTCCTGAAAAGACAATCTCAAGTCGTGAGCGTCGAGAAATCATCTCAAGAAGGTAAAATATACATGTTAAGCTTCGATAGAATAGGTATTCTACAATGACATTATCTATAAAACAAAACAGGAAATTTCTTGTATGTGATGATAGCCAATAAATATATACAATTTTAAAAGTATTTTAATCTGTGGTGATAATTATCATTCAATTAAAGGTTATCTGCATATCTATATAAATATAACAGTACTGTATGCTGTCTGTTGTATGTCCATGTAACTATTTCGCAGGGTGTGGATGGATCTTCACCAGAATTGGTATGGAGGTTCGTTAGATCCATGTAGGGGCACATACAAATTTTCAATTTTTAATTGTTCGGTTTTTATGGGCGTTTTTTCCAATTACATATTAGGGAAGCAACTTTATGTCCTAAGATAACCTTTCATTAATCATGAATTTACATAATTTTCGTCCAGGGGACGGGTACTCCAGCTAATAGTCAATAACTCTGATCGTTGAGATTCACGTGATAAGTAATTGGTATCCTACAAAATGAGTGGAATACAATTATTACTTTTATTAACTTGATTTTCCAAGTCACGGTAAATGGGAATTTTACATTGTGACAGCTGAAGCACAAGCACCCATATCTGTGCTATTTGTTACTGTAGCAAGTTGAAACAACAAGGAACCAGTAATGAGTCGTGTCAGTTCAGATATAACTACCACTAGTAGTTACCTGTTGCTAACTTACTGTGGTAAATATGAAACTACTAGCGAACAGCCTGTCAAAAATGAGGAGGCAAGTACCACTACCCCACCCCATAGTATACCTTAACCTCACATTATCTAACTGAAATACATTTTGCGAAATCAAACTTGACCAACAAAGAGACAGAAAAGTGCAGTCGGTGCAGTCAAACGTCGGTAAGTTCCTTTGTGAGCCAATCAAAATTAAGATCATTCATGAAATTAATTCGTGGCGTATTCGTAGAATAATTATTGGTAAAAATCCATTAGATTAACAATATATAGAAAAGCCAGGGTGTTTTGGTAACACTACGTTCCAGCAATGTTTTTTATGTCATGTTGCTTAGCAACAAAAGTATAACCTGATATTGTTGTTAGTCTGTATACTGAAAGTATAAAAGGAAATGTATAGACAACAAAACTGGAAATATTTGTTGATTTTTTAAAATTTAGTCTTAGTTGATTAAAGAGGTTTGTTGTTGTTGTTTTTTTATTAAAAACGATAGTGATATAACTGAAAATAGCTTAATTCGGAAATGATTTAAGTTTAAAATTGAATCGATATTTTTACTTTAATGATAAGTTTTATGCAATTGGCTCTAGGCTAGGTGATCCTACACTACGTTTTTCTTTACGTATATTATACCAACACTCACTACACTTATAAGGTTTCACGGCACCCTTGCACTCCCGTCACTTAAATTGTAACTGGCAGACAGTAATCGAACTATTTACAGACCTAACATCCGCATTAAACACTTATTTCAATATAAAGTTCAACTACCTAAACTTCTACGTTCATAGCTTGTGTATAAGTATACGTGCAGTGACTGTAAGGTCACGTACGTTGGCAAAACAAAATACTACTTGAAAACTAGAGTCTTTGGCATTTGGTTATCAAACAGAACCGACCACCCAATACCACTCGTCTATTCGTTTACATGTTGAAACCACAGTTTACAATATTTCATATAACGATTTCTCTATCATTACTACAGGATCTTCAAACTTTGAACTTTACATTAAAGAAAGTTTACCCATAGCTAAAGACTGCCCTACTCTTAAAGACTTACAAACCTCTTTAGATATAAAAGTATTCTAAATTTACACGCTTAAAACTCAACTGTTTATTATAAACATAATTGTATCATGCAACTTTTAATTTACGTATCATACGTAGTATATAATCTGTTTACCGCTTTACTCAATATCTAAATAAATTAGTGATTAATGATACTATAACATTAGTTAATACACTGTTTCAGATTTCGCTGAAAATGGAATAAGTGCATTCCGAAACGTTCGAACCTTGTAAATAAAAATGTTGTGTTTTGTCAATCGTCTTCATCTTTATTATTAGACTTAGTTTTCTCTCTCATGATTCCATTGTCGTAATATTACGTACTCAACTCTCTGTAGTGAAGTAAATACCTGCCTTTTGTTCAAACTTAAATTACCATCATTTACGTTACTTTTGTCCCTAAAAATTTTCTGTCAGACAAGAAAGACAGTCAACTAATTTATATTTTTTGCGTAATATATACATATAGTAAAGGTTGGAGCTAAGCCCATTTGACCTTTAGGTCACATCTGATTGAGGGTTGACGTCACAGATAGAAAGTAATGGTCGACCGGATGTAACGTCAAAGGTCAAACAGATCTATTTTCGCGATCTACTACTACTACTATGTACTTTTGCATAGATTACAAGTTAAATCATTCATAGATTCAACTTCAGAGAAGTTATTTTTATGTGACAAAAGTAAATGTACGTAATAGTACGAAATACCTTGCTAATGTAACCCTGTTTTCGAAAATTATAAACAAAGCTATTGCATTTACTGCCACACAATCTAAACTGAAAAGAAAAATCAACTACAGATTAAAATCGGTTTTAAGACTTTTAAAAAATGCATATATTCTACAACTTACTGATTATTGAAGTCCCTAGTAGCTCAGCGGTTAGTCCAAGAATTTATAACGCTAAAAAAACCGGGTTTCGATACCTGCGGTGAGCAAAGCACAAATCGCCCATTTGTTTAGCTTTGTGCTTAACAAACAAGCTTATTGAATTTTGATAATGAATATATTTAAAATGTTGTTTTTGATCCAACTATGTCTATTACTATTAAGCTGCTTTATCTTGTAAAATTTACTACACTAAAATCTGGGGTGTGAAGATTAGACATGTTTAATACGAACAAGTTTTACAAGGTCAGAAAAGAAGAACATTTGACCACTGACAACGGAGAGACCACTTGTTTGTGCTAATTCGTCTTAGATATAGCATTGGTATAGCTCTCAAGTACAATACAGAAAAAAAAAATGGATCAATGTTAGAAAATGTCAGGAACCCAGGGGGAACCCGAATGATAAACCAACGCATTTTATCAATTACAAGGTTTTGTTTTAAGACTTTTCATACCCCGTAGTAAGATTAACTACATTATATTCTAGATAAATTTTAGCTTGATCTTTATTTATAATTGTTTATCATAATTTTTATATAGGTGAAACAATTTCACTGAAGGAAGAAGACAATGGCCTGTTATATACTAGTTCTAAACGTAAGATTGGAAATCTGATAGATAAGGATTGCACTGTGAGTATTGTTAAACTTACATAAGCCTACTAAACGTAAGATTGGAAATCGGATAGATAAGGATTGCACTGTGAGTATTGTTAAAACTTATATAAGCCTACTAAACGTGAGATTGTAAATCTGATAGATAAGGATTGCACTGCGAGTATTGTTAAAACTTATATAAGCCTACTAAACGTAAGATTGGAAATCTGATAGATAAGGATTGCACTGTGAGTATTGTTAAAACTTACATATAAACATGAAACTTTTTGACTTAATATGTACATCGTATATTGCACATTTGTGAAAAAAAAGAGTACGATATCAAAACTGTAAATAAGAAAAAAGATCTCAATAAATTGCCCATAGTATGGGCCTTTAAATCTTTTTCAATAAAAACAATTACGTTAAAAAATTAAAATTCTCTGATGTAGAGAAAACTGTCTACTAGAGACTCTAAGAAACAATGAGTGAAAACAAAGATTATGTAGTCAACCACACTATATCCGCCATATGCAGAACCGACAAAGCCTTTAGCCCAATACCAAGGATACGACAGACATTGTAGTGACCTAAGCGCTATTTATATTAGGTCGTCAAGAAATCAATGTCGCTTATTTTTAGATGAAAAAACCTGAACAACTTATATATCAAAACACAGCTTTTATTAAATGAAATAATCTCCTTTCTTATCGATGATGCTTTTCAATCTTACAATCAGGTTGTTAATGCCCTGATTAAAGACATCATTTGGCTTTGAAGAAGAAAACATGTTGATGGCCTCTTTAACACCTTCCACATTTGCATACGTTTCCCATTAAGATGGTGTTACAGAGAACGAAAAAAATTGTAATCTGATTTTACCATATCTGGAGAATATGCTGGGTGGGGGAACATTTCCTAA